GATACTGGTGCGAGGGAACGGGTGTCGTGGAGGTGCGATCGCAATCTGGCGAATCGGTATCAGTGCGCGTGCTTGTGGTGTCACGGAAGCCGCTGGGCTTTGAGTTTATCCTGGGGATGAACGGCGTGAGTGCACTGGGTGGCGTGACGGTGAGTGCGGAGAACCATGTGAGGTTCGGAGCTGAAACGACCGGGGTGGCGGCGGTGGCCGAGAGACGGGTGCCCGAGACGGCGCCGGCGGCAGCAGGGGCGGCGGCGGTGGCCGAGAGACGGGCGCCCGAGACGGCGCCGGCGGCAGCAGGGACGGCGGCGGTGGCTGAGAGACGGGTGCCTGAGGCGGCGCCCGTGGCAGCTGAGACGGCGGCACTGGCCGAGTCGACTGCACCCACCGAGGCGGCGGAATCTGGGTCAGCGGCAATTGGGGCCCTGACAGTGACCGAGACGCGGGCAATGGCGGCGCCGGAGGCGGCGGCGGGTATATGGCGCGAGGAGGAGAAGGACTTTATTGTGAGCTACGATGAGAGCCAGAAAAAGTGGTCTGTGCAATTGAAATGGTGTGGGGATGAGCCAGGACAGTTGTTCAACAAAGCGGAGGAGTACTCAATACCATCAGAGGCCAGGCAGGAGTATGAGCGACAGCTCACAAAGTGGGTGACAAACGGATGGCTTGTTCCCTATGACGAGCGTGTCCACGGACAGGCAAAGGGCACAATACCGCTGATGGCGGTGATTCAGCCGAACAAAGACAAAGTGCGCCCGGTCATGGACTTCAGAGAGCTGAATGAGTATTTGGACTCGCATACGGCTGCCGCAGACGTGTGTAGCGAGAAAATTCGCGAGTGGCGCCGGTTCGGACGGAACGTGTCGCTTCTGGATCTCAAAGACGCCTACCTGCAGGTGCATGTGAGCAAGTCTCTGTGGCCCTACCAGACTGTTGTGTTTCAGGGCAAAAGGTGGTGTCTGACGAGACTAGGGTTTGGAATCGGCTGTGCGCCGCTGGTGATGAAAAAAGTGCTCAGCATGGCTCTCGGGCTGGACCAGAGAATAGACAGCCCGACATCCTCCTACGTCGATGACATATTTGTGAATGAGGAGGTCGCCACCGCAGCTGAAGTGAAGGCCCATCTCGAGAACCATGGCTTGGACTGCAAAGCGCCAGAAAGTGTGATCGATGGTGCCCGTGTGCTTGGCCTAAGGGTCTGGGGGGAGCGAGACGGGCTGTTCTGGAGGCGTGACAGAACCGACATCAGCCCGCCCCCTAAACTGACGAGACGGGCAGTCTTCTCTCTGTGCGGACGACTCACCAGTCTTGTTCCTGTGGCCGGCTGGCTCCGCGTGGCCGCGTCATATCTGAAGAGGCGTGTCACCGCTGTGTCCAGTGGATGGGATGACGAGGTCACTGACCCGGAGCTCTGTGCAATGGTCATTGAGATGGTGGAGCGTGTGAACACATCTGACCCCGCGCGGGGCCGGTGGGATGTCTCTGGAGACGGCGGAGGTGTGGTGTGGGTCGATGCCAGCTCCCTCGCCATCGGGGCCGTGCTGGAGATCAACGACTGCGTCGTTGAAGACGCCTGCTGGCTGCGGAAGAGCTCGGACACCCACATCAATCTCGCAGAGCTAGATGCTGTGATTCGAGGGCTCAATCTGGCACTGTCCTGGAATTTGAAGAATGTGACGATCATGACCGACTCGCGAACCGTCTATCACTGGCTGTCCGACGTCCTGTCTGGCAGAGCCCGTGTAAAAACCAAGGCAGCGAGCGAGATGCTAATTCGGAGACGTCTTGAGACAGTGAAGAAGCTGGGTGAAGAATATGCCATGCAACTCTGCGTGAAATTCGTCCCATCGGCTGAGAACCGGGCCGACGCGCTCACGAGAGTGCCAAAAAAGTGGCTGACCCCGCAGGGCGCGTCGATGGTGTGCGGTGCCGTCGTCACAGAGCCCGACATCGCACGGATTCACCACACCAGCGGCCATCCTGGCATCACACGAACCCTGAGACTATGCAGGAGGCAGAGCTCTGACGTCACCAGAGCTCAGGTGCGTGCCGTGATCCGCCAGTGTCAGGCGTGCCAATCGGTCGACCCTGCGCCGAAGCGCTGGGTGCGCGGCACGCTAGGGGTGAACGAGTGCTGGGAAAGAGTGAGCATGGACGTCTGCCACGCCGACAATCAACTCTACCTGACCCTAGTGGATTGTGGGCCGTCTCGCTACGCGATCTGGAGGCGCCTAAAGCGACAGGACGCTGAGAGTGTCATCGCGCAGCTCGAGTCAATCTTCCTGGAGCGAGGCGCTCCCACTGAGCTGCTGACGGATAACTATCCATCGTTTCGAAGTGCCGTGTTCAATGAGTTCGTCAGTCGGTGGGGAGTCTCCGTTCGATACCGAGCAGCTCATGTCCCGTCCGGTAACGGCATCTCGGAGCGCAACCACCGCTCCATCAAAACGTTAGCGGCCAGAAAGAAGTGTTCGGTGGTGGAGGCGGTGTATCGCTATAACGTGATGCCACGCGCGGAGGATCAGAGCTCCAGCCCCATGGAAACGCTGTTTAATTACCGAGTGAAAGTCCCAGATGTAGACACGCCAGCTGATGCCGATATCAGCCGCTTTACTGTCGGGGACAAGGTTTGGGTCAGGGACCCGAGCCGCCGCTGTGACGTGGCCAGTTCACTTGGGACGGTGAGCCGTATTGTGTCTGTACAGTGTGTTGAGGTGGATGGAGTGCCGCGCCATGTGCGGGACCTGAGGCTGGCCGTTCTCCCACAGCCGGCCGAGGGCAGGAGTCCGCCGATCAGTGAGAGTGACGACGAGGGCGCCCCAATTATCTTTTATGAGCAGCGTGTCACTCCCGACGCTGCGGCTCGAGGCGAGTCGGAGGGGGCCTCGCACGATGGCGAGGAATCGGCAGCTGCTCGCAGGAGCACGCGGGAGCGGCGTCCCGCTACACTGACGCAGTATGGTGATTTATAAATCAGGGGGGAGTGTAATAGAATTGTGTTATGAATTAGTAGAACGTAGCGTGCCTTGTGTGTGTATTGTGCGTGTGTGCTTATGACCGTGTTTGTGTGGGCGCGCCGAGGCCGTGGGACCGGCGGGCCGCATTTCCTGCGCCTGCGGCGCTAGTTTTATGGCGCACAGCTGTGTGTGCACTGTGGACCACCGGCCGGGCTCGGGCGCGCGGCGGCAGTTGGCGCCGCGACACGATGACGTAAGGAATACAGCGTGTGAGAGGTGGCTCGGTTTTCTACAGTTTCAAAGCGATCGGTCACTCGGTGTAGCTATGAAAGACATTTAAACTTTTTATGAGGTGAGGTCACTTCAAGTGACCTGGTGACCTGACCTTGAATGACCTTGGTCTGAAATTTTCACAACATGTGTAGAATTGATGTATGATAAGGTATACCAAAAACGGCGGCGCTCAGCGCCGCCGTTTTTGAGATATTCGCAAAAAAAACACAAGGGGGGGGGGGGTGTTCAAACACCCCCCCCCCCAGCAGGGCGCGGGTTAAAGCGAAAAAACTGTTCAAAATTGATGACCTCAAATTTTCAAACTCAATTTTTATCAACTTGCATCGAATCAATGCCCATTTTATGCAAAACTATCAACTTTGAAATTTGATCTTTTTTTTACCTGACCTTGACCTGACCACCAGAAAGTGACCTACACCGTACCTGATGGTCTTATCGCCAACACCATTGAGTTGGAAATGAAAAATTGGCCATAAAACATGCATCGCACAACCTTAGTTAAGTTGGGTTCATGTGGTGATCCTTGGTGACCTGACCTGTGACCTGACCTGGTATGACCAGTGACTTCTAATAGCAACATATGTACTAGACAACTGACGCCCTATCGCTGATTTTCAACAAAATGCGTTTTAATCGGTGTTATAGCGCATTCCCTAGAAGACCCGTGAACGGTGAGACATTTTATCTTTGACCTGACCTGTGACGTCATCGGTGACCCCGAGTTCAATAAAATTTGGTTTACCTCGACAAATTTGACAGGGCTATCGAAGCTGTTTGAATTTTCCGGATCCGTCCAGTAGTTTCGGAGATACGGGGGGGGGGGGGGGGCAAAAAATGTCCCCCCCCCAACCGCGCGGAAGGTGGCCGGGAGGCCCACCGCCTGCCGGGTTAAGCAATGGCGCCACCTGTCGGTTTATTTTTTCGAACCACTCTGTTGAGCATTGTGACGCCCCTGGCCCCTGAGGACGCCTTTCGGGCCTAGGGGCGCCCGCCAAAAGTTGGGGTGGCAAACGGGATGTTGGGATGACATAATTTAACCCGGCGGTCGCTGGGCCTCCGCGCCACCCGCCGGCCGCTGGGGGGCATATAGTTGCCCCCCCCCCCATTTACTTCAGCGACGATATCGTCACAACGCGAAGAGATAGAGAAGCGAAACTTTGCACACTTCTTCCTGAATACCTAGCCGAGGTTTTGTCCAAATTTGGTGTCGATCCCATTTGAAGTGACGTCACAGTGACGTCAGCAGTCAAATTATAGATTTGCGACTCACAGTTTCCTCACGATGGTTATATCCGATGTATAAGACCGAATATAAAGGACCGATTAACTATTGGTCAGGAACTAGTTGGAAGTGTACTTAGATGTTTAAGGATGACAGAGGCGCTGTATAGGTCATTTACAGTTGAGTTTCATGCTCAGCGACATCAGGAACGGTCCATATCGGAAAACGACAAAACGTTATGACGTCACTGTGACGTCATCTTAAGTACTACAACCACCAAACTTTCCTCAAACATTGCCTAAGTATTCATTTGAAGCTATGCCAAGTGTCACGTTCGTAGCTCATCAGGTTTCGGAGGTATTCCACAAAATGTAAAGGGGGCAACTTTATGCCCCAGCGGCTCGTGGGGCTGGGGTGGGGCACCTGTCACCCCAATAGTATATGAAGTTACGCCCTGGGTCTGGCCCCATCTGATGATCTGACCCACCTGGTCCATCTCCACTTAACTTGCGCCCACCTGACCAGCCTTACATACGTGGTTCGTCCCCATCTGAGCCCCCCTCCCCCTTCCCCCAGTCCGGCCCCATCTGACCCACCTGGTCGGTGCCCATGGTCAATAAGCTGCTGTTCTCCGCAGTGATCACCGTGTTGGCAGTCAACAGCTTGAACTTTTGCAGACCCATGATTTTCTCCTCGAGCGTGCCGCGCGTAATGAGCCGGTACACGTTGACGACACGGCGCTGGCCGATCCGATGTGCGCGATCCATTGCTTGCAGGTCCTTCATCGGGTTCCAGTCGTGCTCCACAAATATGACAGTGTCGGCTCCGACCAGGTTGAGACCTAGGCCGCCCACCTGAGTGGTCAGCAGCAGGCAGTCGATGCTCGGGTCGCTGTTGAACCGGTGAACGAGTGCGTGCCTCTCGCCGGCCGGCACCGAGCCATCCAGGCGCAGGTAGGTGACGCCAGACAGATGGCCTTGCAGCAAATCATGCTCCACCATGTCTAGCATCGACCTCAGTTGGCAGAAGATGAGCACGCGATGCGGGTGCACCACCTCGGAGCTGGCTGTTGGCATGCCATCCTCCTCACCAATGCCCAGGTCAAGGAGCAGTTGCTTCAGCGCCACCAATTTGGCAGAATGATCGATCTGCTCCAGACTGCTGCCTTGTTCACACAGCGTTTTTTGTACCTGGGCGTAGCTCGGATGCTGTTTGGTGAGCACCAGCTTAGGATGATTGCAAACTTTGCGCAGGTACTGGAGTGCCTGGAACACGTGTGGTGGCGCTCGCTCAACGCCGCGACGGTTCTCGACACTCTCCAAACCCTCCACCAGTGACCGCTGAGCCCGCGAACGCGCAAAATCCTCGTAAAGCTGCTTCTGGATGTCCGACAGCTCACAGTAGTAGTCCTGCGTGATCTTGGGCGGCAGGTCCTCGAGCACGTCCTCTTTGAGTCTCCGCAGCAGAAACGGCAGCACCTGGCGGTGAAGGGCCTCCATTGCCAGCGCACCGGCCTCCTGTTCACGCGAGTTGGCCTTGGCGTCCCGGCTCAGCAGAATCGGCCGACTGTAGCGGGTCGTGAACTGGCGCTCCGTGCCCAGGAAGCCGGGCATCAAAAAGTCAAACAATGACCACAGCTCCAGAACTGAGTTCTGTAGTGGCGTGCCCGTCAGGATCAGACGCCGACGGGAGTCCAGCTGCTTGATCGCCTTGGCCACCTTGGTTTTTCCGTTTTTGATAATGTGGCCCTCGTCCAAGACACAGTAGTTCCACTTGACATTGACGAAAAAGTCGATATCGTTACGCACGATATCGTATGAGGATATCACCAAGTTGTGATTGGGTAAGCGTACTTGTAGCCGGCTGCGTTCGGCCGGTAGTCCGAAGTAGTGAAGCGGTCGCAGCTCAGATGGCTCTACGAACTTGTCTACCTCGTACATCCAGTGACCAGTGAGAGTCGGAGGGCAAACAATAAGAGACGGCCTTGGCGCGTCCTCGGTAGCGCCCGAACGCTCAAACTGCTCACGGCGCGCAGCATGGTCGGCCACTATCATACACAGCGACTGCAGCGACTTGCCCAACCCCATGTCGTCGCAGAGCACACCGTGCAGATGGTACTTATTGAGGAATGCCAGCCAGCTGACGCCGCGGCGCTGGTAGGGCCGTAGCTGGGCGCGCACCCCTGCCGGCACCGGAACATCCTCGATACACGAAGGGTCCATCAGCTGGTCCAAGAAGCAGCGCTCTGCCACCTTTTGTTGGTTGAGCGGCGACGGCACTGCGTCGCCGCCAGGGCATCCTGGCTCCAGCGGCATCAGCTGAATGATGGATGCGAACGTGCGCGACGCTAGCAGGCGCACTGGTAGATCCCGGTCCGACATGCGGCCTGGCGGACGGCAGCAATACACGGGTTAGCATACAGGGCATCGCAGGCAGCGCAACAGCACATCAGGTACTCGACTAATAATGTTTTTACTGCACATTGCCCCAGCAGACGGTAAATAACTTTTGAAAATACCCATCTCCAATATAAGTGTTTTCTGAACCAAAATTGTGCGAGGAATCCGATGGTGTGGTCCCCGAAATCTGAAAAAAAAATCCATTTTGGAGATAGCACCTATTTTTGAAAAAAAAATATTCGTCATGCATAAAAGTCAAATAAATTGAAAATATAATGAGTGAATATTTTTAACAACGTAAGAATGTGTCGAACATAAATTAGTGATATATTTTATCTGCAATGATATTATATCTGTTCATACATGTACATAAACTAGTACATTAACCCTCGCCGGCCGAGAAGGGGTGGGGCGGGTGCCGTCTCATAGGGTTTTTCGCGATAGCTCAAAACACGCTGAGGATGATAAGACAGCTGAAACTTGGCATACCTAATCTTTTATTCAAGCTGGATCTTTTGACACCAACCACCCTTTCAGGTCAGGTCAGGTCACTGACCTATGACGTCATAAATGAGCCTCTGCACGGTCCTCAGATGTTGCAACTTTGCAACGCCCTCAGTGCCAGAGGAACTTTCACAGGAAGATGAAACTTACAGGACCTAGTATCCTCCAGAGGTCTCACAACGTGTTTATCTCAGATTTTTCCCAAAGGTCACATGAGGTCAGTTCGGTTACGTGACCTCACCATTCTAAGTCAATGGGGGAAATATGAAGACTAATTTTGGCACCGGAAAGGATCTAAAACTGTCCCAAGCACATGAAATCGTGGTGTCATGCACTCCTTGTAAGGTCCGATCATAAAACCACGATTCCATGTGATTGGGATAGTTTTAGATCATTTCCGGCGCCAAAATAACAGTTTTCATATTTCCCCCATTGACTTATAATGGTGAGGTCACGTGACCGACCTGACCTCATGCGACATTTAGGTTAAATCCGAGATATACAAGTTGTGAGACTTCTGAAGGATACTACGCCCTGTAAGTTGCATCTTCCTGCATGAAAGTTCCTCTAACACTGAGGGCGTTGCAAATTTGCAACATCTGAGGACCTCGCAGAGGCTCATTTATGAGGTCATAGGTCAGTGACCTGACCTGACCTGAAAACTCGGTTGGTGTCAAAAGATCCAGCTTGAATAAAAGATTAGGTATGCCAAGTTTCAGCTGTCTACCCTAGGCGTGTTTTGAGCTATCGCGAAAAACCCTATGAGGCGGCACCCGCCCCACCCCTTCTCGGCCGATGGGGGTTAATGTACTAGTTAATGCACATGCTTGCGCAGATATAGTATCATCTCAGCTAAAATATATCTCTAATTAATGTTCGACACATTCTAGTATTGTTATACAAAAATTAATTCATTATATTTTCAATTTATTCGACTATTATGCCTGACGAATATTTATTTTTCAAAAAATAGGTGCTATCTCCAAAGTGGAAATTTTTCAGATCTCGGGGACCACACTATCGGATTCCTCGCAAAATTTTAGTCCAGAAAACACTAAAATTGGAGATGGGTATTTTCAAAAGTTATTTACCGTTTTTTTGGGGGCAATATGACTGGATAAGTGGCTATGGGTCACGCATCATCATACACGTTTGAGCGCAGTTGCATGATTGGGAATAGGGAATGGGAAAAGTCGTGGGCCAAAACGTACACTTTTATACCATAAAATACAAATACCGGGCTTCTCAAAAAGTTAGACGATTTTATAACTAACGTATTGAAGGGTGTATCAGTGTAACAAAACATAATTGGGTATCACCTAAAAGCCTCATCAAAGACATTTCGTTTGAGGGGATTTCGATCCTCGGCAGTCGCCTTTCTGAGCCGTGCCGAGGTTATGTTCGAGATGATTCCCTTTTTGCTCAATGCACAGTTTAGGCCGGCGCAGCGCGACCTCTGCTGCAGCACGACCCACGGAAAGCTGCAGACGGCACACCGCTGACTTCACTGCATCCTTGTGATCTTCGGAACTTTTTGGGTGATTTCGGTACACCTGGGACTTAAGGTGGTCCTATAGGAAAAAGTCCGATGGGGTTACGTTCGGAGAATTCGCCGACCACGGGCGTGTCTCGAACCTCGAGATCACGCGCCGCCCGAAGCGCTCCCACAGCCCCTCCCGGTTTTCTTTAGCGGTATTGGCGTGGCACCGTCCTGCTGGAGCCATTGGATCTTAAGCGTTTCCGGATCTCTGCTCATCCTGATATTGCAGAACCCTCCAAAACGTCGCCAGAGCCACCCAATATCGCTGACCATTGACAGTCTGAGTAGCGCATCTCTCACACGAGTGGTGTTCGCCGTGAGCCTTTGATTGGGTTTATGGCCGCCGCTGTGTTCCTTGAATTGCATGAACCTATTGTTAACACTTCCTCGAGCCAGAAACTTGTCAATAATGTGGAAAATTTTGTTTCAAGATGTTGCTCTCTTTGCCCTAAATTGTTTGCGGATCTTCCGTGGTGTCGAACCGACCGACTTAGTCTGGGAAAGCATAATTTCACGAGTTTTGCTTTTACTTTCTAAAACCGCGGCTTCATTTTTTAAGCTCAAATCATGGTGTCATATAAATCTACGAAAAATTCTCCGTTTTTCCACGTGCATTGATTTTGCTTAAATGTTGTTAGGGGTCCTCTATTCGCAAAAGAAATCCGTCTAACTTTTTTTGAGAAGCCCGGTATATTGTGTGAGATATAATTGTGTGAGAAGGAAGCAGAGTATTATTATAGCAGTGCTCATTGAATGCTACAGCAGGTTTCTCGTTAATCAACTTCTTGTTGAGCAGGCACGTACCCAGAATTTTGCCCAGGAGGGAGCCACCTGCTCTCAAAGGAGCCCCCTGGTCACCCGGGGGCCCCCTGCCAACCCAGGCAGTGGGCGTGCTCAGAACCTTTCGATGGGGGGGGGGGCTGGGTACAGTGGGCCCAGTCCTCCCTTGCAGACGGGCCCATCTGTAACGGTCTTAGCCCTAAAAAATGTGGAAAATTGGAAGGCGATAACGTCATTTTTACCTGAAAAGTATGCATAAAATGCACAGAATCTTATGAGCGAGCATAGCGAGCGAGCGCCTCAGAGTCGCCTGTGTGGGTCCCTCCTAGAGATGTCAATCGGATACCAACTTTTTGGTATACCGATACCAAACCGATACCAACTCGGTATTTGGTATTTCAATCCTAATGTGTTTGGTATTTTGTTGGTATCATGAACCCTCGCTAATGTTTAAGAGGCTAAGAAATCGGTAAAAAGTTGGTATTTTCCTCATGTTCCCAACTTGGTTTGGTTTCGGTATTTCTCCACGGTTTTGGTTGGTATTTGGTTTGGTATTGGTATTCCGATTTTCCGTAATTGACATCACTGCCCCTCCGGAGGCACTGGTCTGGGGCGCTCAGAGGTGCGGGTGAAAGACCATCAGATGCAATGGTGTGGGATCCTCACAGGCGCCGTTGTGGGGGCCTTAGGGTTATAGAGACACTGGTGGGGGTCATCATAGGTATGTGTGGGGCCCTGAAAGTTACTGGTGGCTCTTCATAGGCCGACAAGGGACCCTCAGAAGCCGGTCAAAAGCCCTCAGAGTCGCTGGTAAATGCCGTCAGATGTGCTAGTGGAGGGCCCTCAGAGGCGCCGGTGTGGGGGCTCTTAGAGCCGCAAATGTGGGCCCTCGTGAGGCACTGGGGGGGGGGGGGGGCGCTTAGATGTGGCGGTGAGGGCCTTCGCAGGCGCCGTTATGAGGGTACTCAGAAGCACTGATGTGGGTCGTGGGTCCATAACAGACGAATGTGGGGCCCTTATAACTGATCCCTCATTGGCCAGTTAGGCCCTCAGAGGCCGGCAAAGGTCCCTCAGAAGCCGACGTGGGGCCCTTCTGGAGAGTGTGGCTACATAAGAGCTACAAAATGTGAACAAGCCGGCTTCGCTCGACAGTTTTTCCTGGGCTATCAGACGCCGTTTGAATTTTGACGATCGGCCCAGTAGTTTCGGAGTTAGGAGGGGGGGGGGGCTATGGAGAGCCCCCCCCCAATAGGGCGTGTTATACGCAGACCCCAGTGTGGCGCGGGTTAATCAGGGGCGTCTCAGGTGACCAGGGGACTTTCAATCGACCAGATTCCACTAAGTGACCAGGGGACCCTCTTATAAACAGGGGCCATTTATATCAGGGGCCCCTCGCGTAACTAAGGGCCTTCATATGGCTGCAGAGGCCTTGCAGATAACCAGACATTTCCTGGATAAACACGGTCCATCAGGTGACCAGGGGGCCCCTAAGGTGACCACCACGGAGGTAACCAGGGGGCCTCAGGTGACCAGGGGGCCATCAGATGGCCAGGGGACCCTCGAATGGTCAGGATCCGCTCAGATGGCCAGGGGGCCCTCAGGTGACCAGTGAGGTAACTAGGGGGGCCCTCAGGTGATCAGGGGCTCCTCAAGTGATCAGGGGTCCCTCAGGTGACCAGAGGCCCCTCAAGCGACTAGGGGGCCCCTCAGGTAACCAGGGGGCCTCTCTCTCTCTCTCTCAGGTGACCAGGAGGCCCCTCAGGTAGTCAGGGGCCCCTCAGATGACCAGGGGGCCCCTCAGGTGACCCGGAGGCCCTCAGGTGACCAGGGGGCCCTCAGGTAGTTAAGAGCCAATCAGTTGACTAGGGGTCCTCTCAGGTGACCAGTGAGGTAACCAGAAAGCCTTTCAGGTGACCAGGGGCCCCTCAAGTGACCAGGGAGCCCCTCAGATGGCCAGGGGGCCCTCAGGTGACCAGGGGCCACTCAGGTAACCAGTGGCCCTCAGTTAGAAAGGGGCGCTGTGGGCTCGTCACCGTGACATAATCCCTCTTCGATATCATTTTTTCTTTGAGTAAAAGACGATCTATCTAGTATTGGAATTAAGGTACAGGGATCCAGCACGGCGTGCTAGGTCCTCCAGAGTTATCTATGGACCGCAGGGCC